GTTTCCTCTCAGTACTTAATATTCATGTAGTTATTGAGATGTTCCATATACACTCTTCAAAAGCTTGGGGAAAATTTTTCTTATTTTTCTGAAACATTCTGCACGAATTACAGACCTACACTTCCCAACGACTGGTCATAGTTTAGATTAGAAAAAAAACAACAACAACGAAACGCAATTTTACTTTTTTTTTACCGCGGAGAGTATGGAACACTTTCAGTTGGCCTTAAAAACCCACGCAGATGCTGTCACGCTTTTCTCCTCGCGCGCTCCACTATTGGATCCTAGCGTTACTAAAATGTTACCGTGACGTGCTGACTTGAGGTTGCGTGAGATTCTTTGAAGCCTTTCGATCTCAATTCGTGATTGGGAAATGAGTGTAATCAACACCAGGTGTAATTAAAAGCCACAATTTGTAGATTTCGACCTCAGAAAACAAAATTATCGTACAGAATCTCCGAATTCAAGGCGAAAGTCTGCACATCGCAGACAATTACAAAATTCCACAAGCTTAGAAACTAACGGAAAAAATTTCAACAATTTTTTATAGCACTTACCGATCAGGGAAGGTTGTAATACGGCGAATGTGCGTCGGATCATAGACCATAGACGATTGTACATTTCTAGACAACTTGTCGAAGCCATGCTTCTCGCGGTAGAGTTCGTGTTGAAGCTTCGACAAATTAGTTATCGCAAGAGCCATTTCCAAGCGATTTACCGCACTGAACTTACTCACATTGCACCAAGCGAGACTCTATAAAGTAGTGTAAAGACTGATTTGCCAAAAAATTCGACAAAAATCGAGCGGAAATCTTCAAATTCCTTCTCAGGATTTGGTTCGAACGCCAAACAAAATTTGCCAAGGTTACCTGACTCGGTGTGCAGTCAGTCGTGACAACTGACGTCACTAATAAATCTTCTGACCAGCCAGGTCCGCTTCTTTTGATCTCTACGTGCAGGAAGACAGTAACATTGTCAACTATCTATTTTCCGCCTTATTACAGAAAATGCTAAACAAAGCAGCGGGCTCTTTGTCTTCATTTGAAGTGAAGCGCGCTTCTTAGATAAACAGGAGAAAGAGTGGGGTGCTCTGGGACCTTCTTCCATACATTAATAGCGCTACTGTTTTAAGAAGAGCGGCTCAACTGTTTGTAATTCAATCAGCCTAGAATTCCCGTCTCATTGTTTTGCTTTGTTGTGTTTTTTCTTTTTTTTTCCTACCTGTGTCCAACGCAAATGATTTTTAGTATCCTCGTTTGAATTATTTGTCACAAAAGTGATACATATGATGACAATTATAAATTTAGTCTCTCTTCCGAACCCAACCCTTCGTTTGCCGGTGCCGGATATTCTCTCCCACTTAGCTGCAGACTCGAGAGGCGGAGGTTGTGTGCCACATGCAGCTTCCCGAAAGTAAAATATACAGTGAATTTTGAGCTCGTTGATTGATTAGTCTGGAGAGGAATCTAAGGCCACTTTACGAGAGACACTTTTAATCACTTCTACGGGTCTAACAGATCCAGACAATAATTTGGTGAGTTCCTTTCAAGACTGTATTTACTCGCTGAGCAAGCGTGCGGAAAATGTGGTAACAGAATGAAAACGAAAAGGCCTAAAAACTAAGATTTCCACAGTTTTCCGTCAAATGCGTCTAAATACTAGTTAATTTTTTTCTTTCTTCACGGAAAAACATCTCGATTATCGCAGACATATCAACGCATGAGGCATGGAAGGTAGGAAATTCTCAGGCCTTTATACAGAATCCTCCCGCTGAATTTCGATGGCCTTAACTAGTTAGCATTCGGAAATGGTGATCCAGCTGTTTCAGATATTTCATTTCTGAATGAAAATCTTGAGACCTTAGGGACAAATGGAATTCTTTTTGTACACAGCGTAACAGGAGGATAAATCCCTCAAACAGGCCGCGTTTTTGGAATATTATGCGTTTGAAATTTTATTGACGTTAGATAGAAAAAAATTAGGGAAAAAATATGTGAGAAATTTCAACAAACGATAAGGGAGACAATTTCCAGTATCTGAAGTTATTGAACCGAAAGCTTTGGTGAGATGTTGTTCCCAGCTTGTCCAAAATCGCTTTCATTACTTTTTCCTTCAATAATCCAGCTCAAGAAGCGAATGAGAAAGTGGAATATATTCTTTTGAATTTCTACTTTGCTTTGTGTTTTATTTTCGTTTGTCTTTTTTGTTTGTTTTGTATCTTTTTCGCATTCAGCAGTTTCTGAGTTAAGCCATCAACACCGCGAGTTCGATCTCAGGTGGCTTTTCGCGCAATTATGACACATTTCAAGCCGTTGTGAACATGTGTTCCTTGAAAAAGCGAAAAAAAAATACTGTTTATGAATGAGTAAGTTCTAGTTAATAATTGTTAAAATAACGAAGAACTTTCGTCATTGTCAAACTAAAGTAGGAAATAACTGTAATTAAACCCAAGCAGCGGCTTCAAGTCCTATTGTGTAGTAAACCAATCGGAAACGTTAGCGTCTCCTTGGCGAATTTATGTTTATAGTGCGATGTTGTCGAGGTACCGGATATGCGCCAGAGATTTGCAAAAGTTCTGTAACTTTAGGGAAACTATTTGTGAAATTCGCCATGTAATTTGACGGAAACCGTGTACACCTGCGACGAAAATATTGTTCAATATAATAATGATTACTGCGTTACAGCAAGGATTATACAAAGAACATCAAGGTGTCGATTTCTTGTCGAGGAATTTCGAGTCGCATTTTCTACATACTCCTCAATACCATGATAGGATTACTGTGTCACAGGATCAGTAAGTAGAAGCAGTAACATAACTTCTGTGCTTTTTTTGTATTGAAGGAAGTTTTAGAGTCAATGAGATCAGTAACCCTCGCTTTATTTCGTTGTGAAATTGCGGTAAAGAAGTTTGATGCTTCGGCGCGTTGTGTCTGTTTTAGCACTCATCTGACACAAACCATGCGGAACCGTTGCTAACACGTTGCTAAGGAGTTGAACTGGGTTCAGAGTTGTTTTAAGTGCTCGAAATTTACTTATCATCGAGAAACTGGTATCTTAAGCACGACATCTGACGAACATAATCGAACCACGACTTCCTTTTTCTGTTACCCTTAAATTACAAAATTAATGGCCATGCTGTAACTTTTTGTCTTGTATTTCTGTTTACAAATTTCTGTTAACGATTAAAAAGCACTTACTGGAATAATTTGTGATAGGGAACGTGATGACAGTTGTCAGTAGCCTTCAATTTTAAACGCACCTGCGAATTTTTACATAAATGCTTAAGATTACATTATCCTCGGCAGTATTTGAGAAAATTATCAGCCCAGCATTTGTTGTTTTACTACGCAAAATAAATGTCGCAACGATCATATATCTTTTTGTCAGAGTTTTTGACCTATGATGTCGCGTATGATTTCGCTATAAAGTTAGACATAGATGTATCTAGGATCGTGTTGTCATTCTGTATGCAGTTGATGCCTCCAAGCTAAATTATCATAGACAGCTTACACAGGTGGTTTCATTTGTGGGCAACACGATTGTTTGCAGATGTTCTCAATCTGTTGATGCTATTGTTTGAAACCGGGAAACAATGTTTTTATTTGTGAAAAAGTTCCATTTCTCTGTAATATTTTCTCTTTGTTGTAAATGCTTGCGTGGTTTCCAATTGATTTTTGTGCCCAGAGACGAGTTAGAATTCCAGAACTCATTAAACATTTTTATGCCCACACACGCATCACCTGGGCAAAAATGCGCGATTTTTTCAACACTAGCGATCCAGGGCTGTCTAGTTGGTTGATAAAGCGGCAAAGAAAGTTATCGTATTTACACACACCGAACATGGAGAACAGTAGGACTCGTGAAAGTCGCACAGCTTTAGTGATCACATGTCGTTAGACTAAGGTATCGGACATTTTTAAATACTTGCCCTGATGAAACTTAGCTTGATAGATCTCTATTTTCTGGGTTTCTTAGAGTCAAATATCTTGAAAACGTATGGAAATGAGCGCAGTAAATTTTCGCATAACGACAAGAATGGAAACAAAAATTTATTTAAATTCTGAGTTGGTTTCAAGCGGCGACAAGCTGTTACTGTGGCTGAATTGCTCCTAAATAGCGTCTAGGGTACTCGATGTGAATTTTTCATTTTGCGCTTACAACGTGATCGTTTTTTTTCCGAACCCTGTGACATGACTCGGAACCTTGAGTTTTGAAAATGAAAAGAATGGTTTCGAAAGTCTGAAAAACTGCTTGAATTTTGTACCGAAAAATTAAATGTGTACAAACCTTGTTAGTCGTCTGGCGTGGCGTGACATGTAGTGGTACACGAAGACGATGCTTGGTCAATATTTTTCGCGCCACCGTCCAATGCTATCAGGACCATCTCCAATCCTGATATGTCTTACCCAGTTTCAATCCTCATCCCTTCATCCTTTCGTTAACGCTTAGTGAGAACTGAATTTTCTTTTCAATATCAGCTTTGACCGTTACCTGTCACGGACCAGCAGGTCACCAAAGGTACCATGGGGTCGCAGTCTAAGCTATGGAGGGTTTGGCCCCATTCAGCTCCCCAAGGAGTATCGACCCAAGCAGGAGCCCCCCACGCGAGTACAGAAAGGACACAGGCACTTTGGGGGAGGGGTGCTGCCATTTCCACGGTAAGGGTGTTTATTCCTTCTGATTTGCTTAAAGCCAAACATGTTTCATTTAAGGGTAGCAGGCACTCATGCGGTCATAAGCCACTCCGGAAAACACCAGAATGTTCTGTGAAGCGCTTTTCGATTGAGTGTCTTAAAGCCAAAACCAAAGTAACAACAACGGCCAATCAGAAGAAGGGCTCTCGTTATAGTCTATTGCCTGAATAGCCAATGAAAAACCAAAGTAAAAACAAGCAAACCCTCCTAAAGCGCGGGAAAAACGCTGGCGACCAAGTCGTGATTGGTTTAGTTTTGCATCTGATTGGTTGAGAGAGGGGGGCGCGAATTTTCTAGACCAATCACAGAGCAAAGTGAAGAAAAACTAATGCAATCCCGGATTACTTTCAATTGAAAATTGCTCAAACATGCAGATTGTAGTGGACCTTTTTTTTTAAGCCTTATTTTCCATAATTACGTTTTTTTGCTTAATGACAATTTTTAATGAGGAAACTTTTTCACTAAAAAGTGGTTTACAAAAAGGACCTCGAAAATTAAAAATTAAAAATTTACAATGAATAAAAATGCTAAAAGATGCTACTAAAAACTAATGTATCTTATGTGTAATACAAAGCTTAAATCAATGAATTAAAAATCTGACGCTTCAAAATATTTACATTATCAGAGGCTCGTATAGTTTTGTCCAGCGAGTTAAAATCACTTACAGCATGATAGCCAGTTCTTTGTTTACCCCAGTTTCTTTGCTTAGCCCCAAAATCAGCAACATTGGTTTGCCTATATTGTATTTCCCAGGAAAATATCCGATGTTAATCGCGGATTATCTAATATTATCCATTATTGGATTCTCGTTGTAGTCTATTGCCTGATATGAACAACGGTTGTTTATTGAAACGACTTCTCGTACTAAAGTGAGGTAGACTGATATTTTTATGAATTGTTTCTAACTGTAATAACACCATATCCCACGTATTTGACTGTTCGCTCTGAATAAATAAAGAGTCTTGTTAAGTTGAACTTTATGTTTTGTCTAACTTTTACGGTTTTGTTCTCGGGAAATATACGTAAACGATAACGAAACACAAAGTTTAACCCAAACATG